GGGGGTGGTGTGCCTAGAACGGCATTCACAGGTCTAGAGTCTACATAACTCGAGACTGAGTCCCTGTGAATGCCGTTCAGGGCCTGTCTGTAAGCTGTCGGGTCCAGAGGTTGCTTAATGAACCTCTGGACTTCGTCCGTTAGTTCATATAGATGCCTCCTGACGTGCCTAGGCGAGGGCTCCTCTGCAAGCAGCTGTCTGCTTGGGTGGCCACTTCTGTGGCTCCCGATCAGGAACTGCTTGCAGAGCATTATATTATGCTCCTTTACCGGGAGCATTTGCGCCTCGCCGTGCAGGTGGTGTTCAGGCGACATCAAGAGGCATCCCGTCGCTGTCCTGAGGCACCTTGTCGTTGGTGCGGGTGCTTAGCTGAATCTCCATTTAAACCTTCCCTTCTTTTCCAGCTAGGGCTGCTGGCGAACAGTTACCAGGAACTGCAGCCTCCTAATCCAGGGTGTAACGCGACACCGTGCCTATTGGGCGGTTTGCTGCCAGGAGGTTAAACCGGCTGTATTTTAACGGCGCCTTCTCGACACCGGGCCGCCTCGAGGAGTAACGGTGGCCTTACCGCGACAAGGGCCGATTTGTAGACTGCTACGACTGGCAGGTCAGGCACGCGGTCGTAAGGAAAATATGAAGACAACAAAAGAAACAAAAATGAAACAAATATAACAAAGAAAGGCAAAAAGAAAGAGGGTCGGAGGAAGAACTTCTTGGATGGCCTCTCTGATGCCGAGGCAGTGCTTTCATTGACTACGAGAGAGAAGACGATGAGTCCTCCGCGAGTAGTGGTATATTCGACGTAAGGGCGTTGATAGACACCGATGTGGACAAAAGGCACGGAGGTAGACACCACAGCGAATATGCACGCGAGCGCGACAGGTCTCTAAGCCAGTCCGGCTAAACAACATAGCGTGAATCCATGCGGCGGGAGCGACCCAGCAACATTGAGTCGAGCGCACCCGCGAATGAGCGGAAGATCGGGCAGCACCAGCAGCAGGGTATTGAGGTATCCGTCAGTCAGACCGCACCCGCCGAAAAGCGGGCATTACAGCGAGAAAGCAGAACCCAAGCCCGCTGAAAAGCGGCGCGATGAGCAACCCCGTGATTCGGGCACAAGGTACGATAGTCGCGCTGGCGAGACCGCACCCGCTGAAAAGCGGAAGAGCGGGCAGTATCGACGAGATGAGAAGCACGGTGACGAGGGGAAAAGGGTTAGAGGTTTCGCCGAGACCGCACCCACTGCAAAGCGGAAGAGCGGGCAATTAACACCCCAAACTCCTGCTCCAAAGAAGCAGCGAGAGCTACGGCGAAAGAGGACGCTCAGGTTTGTCAGCCCGCACCTCCAGCCCAATCTTCTAACCAGCCAGGTACCAACCAGTAACTTTCAGCGGATACTGCTTCCCAACTGGGCCCTAACGGGTCTCAGACTATATATTAACTGGTCCCCAAGACCTGTTACCAACTTGTCCTAAACTGTATACCAAATGGGCCCCCCGTACCCCAAGTAGTTCCCAAGTCACTCCACCAAATTCATCCACTGAGACACACACCACGTTTTCGTCTCTGTCTAGCCCTTCGAAATTTTTTGCTGGGCTATGTGTTACATCTTCGCAAATTTTACTACTACCGAAACCAAAGAAGTATAGAAATCAATCTAATATATAAAATCTCGTGTCACGGTGTTAGTGGTCGAACTCCTCCTAAACGGCTTGACCGACCTTTATGAAATTTTTTGTGCATATATGGTAGGTATGAGAATCGGATGTAAAGTATATTTCATACGGTGCAGAGGGCGTGGCACTTCCCATACAAACCGAATTTTTCTTACTGAATTTCACTGAAAGTGTTCGTGGCAGAGTACTGAAACTTGGTATGGAGGTATATCAAATCAATCAAATGGTCATGAAGAAAAGTTGCAGCTATTGGAAAAAGGGGCGCGGCACCTCCCCTGCAAACAGAATTTTTCATACTACATACCTCTGGCAGTGTTCACGATAGAGTACTGGAATTTGGCAATTAGGGTGTCCTATCCTAAAAAATTGTCTATTTTTTTCTTTTAAAATTTTTAGTATTTTTGTATGAAAAATCTAATATATAAAAATATTGTGTCACGGTGTTTGTGGTCGAACTCCTCCGAAACGGCTTGACTGATTTGAATGAAATTTTTTGTGTATATTCGGTAGGTATGATAAGAGGGTTTTAAAGTATGTTTCATACCCCTAAGTGAAGGGCGCGTGGCGCCCCCCATACAAACCAAATTTTCCACACTGCATATCTCTGGAAGTGTTCATGATAGAGTACTGGAACTTGGTATGGAGATATATAAAATCAATCGCATAGTCATGAAGAAAAATGGGGGCTTTTGGAAAAAGGGGCGTGGCACCTCCCATAAAAACCGAATTTTTCATACTGCATATCTCTGGAAATGTTCATGGTAGAGTACTCGACCATGGTATGGAGATATATGAAATCAATCCCATACTCTCAGAGAAAATTGGAGCTTTTTCATAAGGGGGCGTGGCGCCTTTCAAACGCACTGAAGCTATTACGTATCTTTGTATGCATATACACTTTTGCTAGGTAATTTACTTTGGCAATGGAAATATGCCTTCTGACAACCACCAAACCGTAATATTAGAAGATAAATGCGTCACTGAAAATCATGTACGTGAACTGTTGGTGAAAATGTTGGACCAAAATGTTTCAATACAAAAAATTAATTTTTGGCGGCACGAAGTTCGCCGGGTCGGCTAGTAATTCAATGAAATTCTGATACATAAGTATTGTATTTTATCAGACTTTATTTACATTCTCTTTCAACATACGCACAGGCATATATGTACATATGTACATACATACATACGAGCACCAATTAATCTCATTTAAAGAATTGGCGTGTCTTCCATTTCCGCTATAGTGTATGTAGTGCATATTTTTAAGCACAATTTTTAGCTACTTCCGGCATGGCGACATCTACGTCTCGTGTCTACTGTATGGTCTTTGATATGCCTACCGACGAGGTAGGTTGATGTCTAGAATTTTGTATAGGAACTTTGATTATAATCTATAATTATAGCAGCAAAGGCGTCTGGACATGCAACATTGAAAGTTGATTAAAGCGTTGTACAAATATCCTCTGGCGAAGACAAGGATACTATAGCTTGTTATATTTATTTTCATTTATTTACTTCGTACTTTCTCCTTGTGGTTTTTGTACGCCGCAAAGCTGTGTTCAGTCAAAGAACGTAAATCTATGAGAAGAGACAACACGTTATAATTGTAGCGAGTGTGAACATCAAGAGCGAGCCTTCTCTTTTTATCCAATCTAAAAACGTATTTGGGCAAAATAGAAGGCGCTCCTGATGTTCACACTCGCTACAATTATAACGTGTTGTCCCTTCTTATAGATTTACGTTCTTTGGTGCAGTAAATTTTCAGATTTTACTGACCTGTCTTACTGCAGTGCGGTATGCCGAAATCAGTACGCTCCGATTTCATGTATGCGACACTAATGTGAAAATGCCAATTGAAATACATGAGGTCGGCTAACTTTCGGTATACTTTCGGTAAAAACCAAAAATTTCGATCCGATATCATACTGAGTATTGTGAAATCGCTCTTAGTCTAGACTTGTGTGTATTTGAACTTGCAAGCAAAGTTGAAACGCAGAACGTATACTTAAACGCAGTCTGTATACGCAGAATTTTATCGATTACTGGAGCCCTCAGTATTGCTTACTACAGTGTTGCCACTCCTCAATGCCTTTTCATAAACTTATCTCTTCAACTAAAATTTTTCGTGCCAGAATAGATCGTAGCTAAATACAAACTACTTAGGTTTCAACAAAAACCTTATTCAATAGTAAGTTTCAAATATTTTAAACGTATTGTTACGATTATCCTCGAAACCTTGAGGGATTTCCCATGAACCAATTAGAACAGATCTGTCCGGTTGAGAAGCCTCCATTTGTAATAGCAATTGAGAAAAAAGTGTGTGACGTTCGTAATTTTGAAGCTTGCTATTTCTGTTTTGCCTCTTTCTTTATGTGTATTTTGTCGGTGGTTTATTTCAGTGATTTTTCTGCGATTTTCAATAATTTTTTTGTGCAAATGTAATTAAAATGAAGTGCATCTATAGAAAGGAGAAATCAGCTGACACGGAAAAATCTAAATTCCGCAGATTTCTGCGCTACGGGCTACAACTACAGAAAAATTCTGCTGTGTTGAGTTTTCATTTACATGGCGCTCTGGTAAGACAGATCGTGTCAGCTGACTCGGGTTTACGTACCGGTAGTTTTACGTTCTTGACTAATTTCAGCTAAAGTTCTTGACCATGTAAAAGGCCCTACACACGGATCGATTTATCGGCCAACCAGTTGGCCAACCGCTAGAAGTTGATGGTAAATAAGCCGTGTGTAGGCAAGTTGGCAAACCTTCGTCAAGTTGTGCGTCAGGGTGGAGAAAAATCAAAAATTTTAGATTTTTGAGGCAGGTTGCCATGCGCATTAACGTTGACAAGTGTGTTTTCGGTTATTTTCCCTAGTGAAAATGCGTACTATTTGTGAAGACGGGGGCGGTAGCAATAACAAATACATAAAAATGAGAAGCATTCCTAGCATAGCTTAAAAGTTTGCCAGTGCTGTTGTGTTGTTCACAGTTCAAAAACTCTCNTTGAAAGAAAGCGTGCTGGTGGTAACATCGATGAAATTTTTATATTAAATCAAAATAAAAGTCTGTTCCTTATTGGATTATTTATGATTACGTTTTAGGAAATTATTCAGCAAGTTTTTTAAAGATTTAAATGTTTTTAAACACCGAAATTGAGAGAATGTTGTCTGGTGGCGTCATGCGGCAAATGCTTATTTCAAGACATCAAAGTGCCCACACACAAAAACTTGCAATCACATTGCTCGTCAAAATGACAGTTGGTAGGCCATCGATGTTTGCCTGTGGAGTTCTGCGGTTAACGTCCAAGTAATTGATGACTAATTATTTAGCGATATGGCAGCACGCTCGCAAACTCAACGAAAAAATTCGGAATAGCAAAAGAAAAGTGTGACGCGTTCCTGCAAGAATTGTACAATTAAATTAAATTAAGCTGCAAGATTGTTGCTTATCAACTAAAAAAAATCTCTTGACGGTAATAATTATGCTCTACTATATTAGTAAAATAAGTTTATCAAAGGGAAAGCAATTTCCAACAAAATATCGGCTGATTTGCCAGCTTGAAAATTTAAAGAAAATGGCGTCTCATGTGGCGTTTTGCAAAACCGAATAACCTAACTTTTTCTTAGCATTTTTTTCCGGGTCGAATAGAACGATACTCAACTTCCATTAAAAAATGGCTGATAATGATGATCTTTTGGATTATGAGGATGAGGAGCAGACCGAGACCACTGCCGCCGAAGTCCCTGAAGCACCAAAGAAAGACGTGAAAGGCACATACGTGTCAATTCACAGTTCGGGCTTTCGTGATTTTCTGCTGAAGCCGGAAATTTTGCGTGCAATAGTTGACTGCGGTTTCGAGCATCCGTCTGAGGGTAAGAAAATGTAAATTGTATATTTTTGTAATTATCAACTGAAGTTGTCGGTACGCTGTTTAAATGATGATACTATTGATAGGGACATCAGATATATAATGATCGATTTATCAAATTTAAATCTGAAAATTGTGTTCATTCTAGAGATTGATGGGTAACTAAACTTTTCGTTCACACATATTATGTATTTATTTTATTACAGTGCAACATGAGTGTATACCACAGGCAGTGCTGGGAATGGATATTCTCTGTCAAGCCAAGTCGGGTATGGGTAAGACTGCTGTTTTTGTGCTTGCAACTTTACAACAGCTAGAACCGACGGAAAATGTGGTATACGTGTTGGTTATGTGTCATACTCGTGAATTAGCATTCCAAATTAGCAAGGAGTACGAACGATTCTCCAAGTATATGCCAGCTGTGAAGGTAGTTACTAATATACTCTGTTAAAAATTTGTTGAATTCGAAAAGCATATATTTTTGAATATTTAAGGTTGGCGTATTCTTTGGCGGCTTATCCATTCAGAAAGATGAAGAATCGTTGAAGGGTACAACGCCACACATTGTTGTTGGCACACCTGGTCGTATCCTTGCCTTGATACGCAACAAAAAACTTAATCTAAAGCACTTGAAACACTTTATTCTTGACGAATGTGACAAAATGTTGGAACAACTTGGTAAGCTTTAAACACTAAAACCCAAATTCATAAAAAATAAAGAAGTCTTGTAACTGCTTTATAATTTATAAACCTGGAATTTGTATGAAAATGTCATTTAATAGAGCTCTTTAAATCTATTTTATTTTCTTATCAATAAGACCATAAGGTTTTAATTTTGTATTAGGTATGGAATGTGCTGTTTCTTGAAAATAAGTATTTTCATATTCTTAATCAAATTGCAGATATGCGTCGCGATGTTCAGGAGATTTTTCGAAGCACTCCACATGGAAAACAAGTAATGATGTTTTCCGCTACGTTGAGCAAGGAAATACGTCCGGTGTGCAAAAAATTTATGCAAGATGTAAATATCTACGTGTCCATTCTTCTACTTGTTCTACTACTACTAGTTATACCACTAAGCTTTATCCCAATTGCTGAACTGCCACAACATAAACACCACAACACCATTAAAAAAACAAAGTCACAAATGTTAAAACTAATAACAGAAAGCATAAAGTATAACAGAATAGAAATAATCTTAACCTGAAAATATCAAATCCATTATAAATGAAAAACTATAACAAAACGGTTTTTAGAAGCCATAATTATAGCAATGCGTCACTTGGTTGCGTAATGTAAAATGAAGTTGACTTCTATTAATTCTTTGCAAAGCGACGTGGATCATTGCGACTGCAGCAGTATTCCCCAAAATTTCATGGGGATAGCTTTATGCTATTACAACCAACAATTTGCGACGTGATTTGATACATGTTTCAACATGGGGAAAACATTATTCACTTAATCGATCATTTACAAAATGGAAAGGGAAATGCCTTATTTGGGGATGCATCTGTCAGCCAAGCACTAAATGGAAATAGGTCTAAACATTCCATTGGGGATCACTTCAATGTTGTGTGTACCAGTAGCCTGTTTCGAAACTAATGAGATGTGGTGGTTGTGTGGCCGTATGTAATTATAGCATATAAATGTTTCTAAATTTGCTAAGTCAAATATTGGACGTCAGTGAATGAGCTAAAGGCGCCCGTCTGTCCTTTGACGATTCAGCGGCAGGATGATTCCTAATTATGCTGGTTTTCATAAATTGTAAGTTTAAATATTCTTTATTTAATTTTATATTGCAGCCCATGGAAGTTTATGTGGATGACGAAGCTAAATTGACATTGCACGGATTACAACAGCACTATGTTAAACTGAAGGAGAACGAGAAAAACAAGAAATTGTTTGAATTGTTGGATGTACTCGAATTCAATCAAGTAAGCACCTATTTGAATTAAATGAGTTTTAATGTATTTGAATTCTATTTATATAATTAAATGAAAAACAGGTTGTAATTTTCGTAAAATCAGTTCAACGGTGCATGGCTCTAGCTCAGTTACTAACCGAACAAAATTTCCCCGCAATTGGCATACATCGTGGAATGACACAAGAGGAACGTTTAAATCGCTATCAACAATTCAAGGATTTCCAAAAACGCATATTGGTAGCCACCAATCTTTTTGGTCGTGGTATGGATATCGAACGTGTGAATATTGTATTTAATTATGATATGCCTGAAGATTCGGACACTTATCTTCATCGTGTGGCTCGTGCTGGTCGTTTTGGTACCAAAGGTTTGGCTATAACCTTTGTCTCGGATGAGGCTGATGCTAAAATTTTGAACGAAGTGCAAGACAGATTTGATGTCAACATCACTGAATTACCGGATGAGATTGATCTATCATCCTATAGTAAGTGCCTGTGATTTTTAACAATGAATAATGTTTACGATTAATATACAATTTTCATTTTGCAGTCGAAGGACGATAAAATATTTAACTTCTACATAAGTACTGCTACTAAAATGGGCTACTTTATTGTAAACCTAACGTAATCTATAGTGTATTACTCAAATAAAAGTCCAGAAACCAAATGAGACATTTTATTTTAAGACGCTTTCTAATAAGTATACATAGAATAAAAAGATAAATTAAAGAATTTCTATTACGAGTTTTATTTTCTAAAAGCATTTTGAGTTAAAAAGAAGGTAGACATTGGTGTCAAGGTGAGAAATCTAGGTTTAGAAGATAGGTTACTAAGGCCGAATTTCAGATGGCCTATTTAAGTAGAGATTGTTAATTAACTTCAACAATTCATTTTCAGATCATAAGTTTAATCTGCACATAAATGGCCATATTGTTATTCAAGTATGAGATATAAAACCCTGTGTATGCATCAAACAACCAAGATCGATAATAGCGGCTGTGTTCAGAAATGCATCAAGCGAAAGCATCGTGCTCCTTTATTTATAAACTATAATTTAGGGTAATGTATGTTTTGCGCAACTAAGTTCCAATTCGGGATTTAAGCGTGGTTGCACATATTGGCTATTTTCATCAATTATAGTTTAGAAACGAGTAATTTTTAAGCAAAAAACAAAACCGACTTCAATTCTCATATAAAAATTTAAGATTATCGTAAATTTCTTCACGGTCCAATTATCGGATCTAAACAAAATTAGTATGGGACCACCCTTGAGGTACCACCTTCCGATGAATTATCGAAATCGACTAACGTGGTCCAAAGTTATGCGGGAACATACATACAAAAAAAATAATCCGACGAACAGATAACCTCCTTTTCTGAAGTGGGTTAATAAAAGAGCCTGCTGCTTTGGCTTGATGCATTTCTGAACGCAGGGAGCCTGGCGGACGTGGCAATGCAATATATTTCGAAAAGGCTGTCAAATTGAGAAATTTCAGAAAGCAGTTGCATGAGGAGTTACACCCTGCATGTAAAGTGTCTTTCGAAAGAGGTTCATGGGCCTACCATTAGTTGATCTTGACGACAACGATTGATGGACAAACCGATCTAGGCGGCGCTTAGTAGTACCGCTACAAAAACAACATCAACTTGAAAGGAAGTTATTGATCGTGCAATTTCACTGTAAACATTTTTTTACAGCCATATTTACGGCCGTATTCACATGCTTGAACATCTCTCTTGCGTTCTGCCTTTTTCTCTCGCAAGCGAGATACGAGTTTTGTTGGCTGGGAATTGACAGTGCTTTTTCATTTGTAAAATGTCGCCAAAAAATAAGATTCGAGCTTTGCAGGCTAAATTTGTATTTTTCACCAAAATAAACGATGTTGCTACTCTGAAGAATTCTACGAAATAAGAATATACCTGTCAAACAACAAAAATTATAGTTCAAAGCATGGGAGAGCTTGAAAGCCGCTCGATATGCACGAAAAAGTATGCTTCGTACTGTTTGCGGTCTACACGTGCGGGATCTCGCATGTGATGTCACCCAAGCTAGATCTTCCAGCACGTGAAGACGGCCGGTTACATTTGAAAGAAAGTGCTTTTGGTCAAAGACTGTACGTTCTTTCATTTCGCAAAATAGGCCAAATCACCACACCTTAAAGGCCCGCCCACATACAAATTTGGCCTTGCGATGGCGTTGGCGACGATTCAACAACTGACTATGAATACATGAGATCCAAAGCGGCCGTCCACATCCATGGTGAAACGAATACATCGGTCTTGGTCCACATAGCCAAAATTTGGCAACGCTAACGCCAACACAAGTCAGAAAGATAGCCAACTCTCACCTTATCGCGTGCGTCGCTCATCAGCTGTGAAATATTTTTCCCTTTCAATCAAATTCGAGCAAATTTTGTCATGCAATTATTGATATGAAATATTAATTCATCTGTCGTAAGTGTGTTAATTTAGTGGGCGAAGCATTTATTGTCAAGCGTTTATTATAGCAAGCATACTTTTAACGCGCTTTGAAACCATGACTCAACAATTAAAGGTTTGCTCATTATTGACATTCGAGTTTTGACACTCCCTTAACTCCCTTACAAAAGCTTTGCACACACACACGAACCCACACGATTTTGTCATGAGGGAGTGAGAAAACTGTTTTTTGAGCAAACCTTTTATTATTGAATCATGCTTTGAAACGAGTCATTTGAAGGGGTTTACACAGCATTAATTGCAAAGGGAAGACGAAAACAAAATGAATGTAAACAAGCACTATATTTATTATATTGTTAACACATTTTGGACACAAAAAGGCAATTATTCTTTAATTAAACGAAAAATGCTTAAAGGGTATTTATAATAATTTTTATACACAAACTTTAAAGATTTATTCATTTCGTTGCGTTTGTTTTGATTTTAAAATAGTACGGCAATTGGAACGCATTAGCTTCGTGATTTTGTTTAAATGCGTAATTTTGGAAATGCGAATTTGTATGGAGATATGCGTAATTTGGCCTGGCATTTCAGATTTCTCGCTCAAATATCGCATTTGGGCTCACTGTTAATGTAATATTAGCCTGCGCATCGCGAGTAGTTTCTCCACGATATCCAAACAATTCAATTCGTCATACACCATTCAGCCATTCAAAAGAAATGTAACATTTTAATATGCAGATATGTGTGGATATATGTGGTGGATTTTCCCTTAATGGGCCTTCGCACACTGGACTGCTCAGTCCGCCTAAAACCGGCGAAAATCGCGGATTGACGATGGACTGACACGCACACATAGACAACATGTTTTCTATTTCGTTTTGTTTGCATGTGCCACATGCACTAACACAATCATGCGTAGTTCATGTATACAAAACTGAAACCTGTTTTCGGCCGACTGCTCAGTCCAGTGTGCGTTCGAGTGGTGGACTGCTCAGTCCAGTGTGCTTTCGAGTGGTGGACTGCTCCGTCCGACTGAGCAGGCTAGTGTGCTCAGGCCCAATGAGTTGGGGGAAATCGAAAGGGCCCTGTCACACGGTCAGAATTTTTTGACGTGATCCAAGTATCGCGATATCTACTGACGGTGTAGCATGCAGTATTGATGGATCGTGATCCATATCGCAAAACTTCTAAGGGCCCTGTCACACGGTCAGGATTTATTGACGTGATCCAAGTATCACGATATTTATTGACGGTGTAGCATGCAGTATTGATGAATCGTGATCCATATCGCAAAATTTCTAAAAATTTTGAAATCTGAATCGGGATCGCAATACCGTCAATAAATATTGAACGTCTAGCACTTACAAAACGCGATCCATACATTTCGTCAGTACATCTTTTACTCCCATAATGCAAACATCGAAAACGTATTCGCTCTGCCTTCGCTCTTGGTGCTTAAACCCTTTCAAAACAAATTGAGAAAATTTGAATTAACATTGGAAATTTTAAAATAATTGTGGAATGCATTATCTGTAAATTATACGCACAAAATAAAAATATTTTCTTGCGTCATAATAAGCGTTCAGCACAAAACTGATGCAAACACTGACGCGATAAATATTGAACATGTAGTATTCGTGCGCGATCCATCAATCCATCAATATGGATCGCGATCCAAATATCGTGATAATTACTGACCGTGTGACAGGGCCCTATAAATTTTGAAATCTGGATCGCGGATCGCAATACCGTCAATAAATATTGAACGTGTAGCACTTTCAAAACGCGATCCATACATTTCGTCAGTACATATTTTACTCTCATAATGCGAACATCGGCTCTGCCTTCGCTCTCGGGGCTTAAAATCTTTCAAAACAAGTTGTACAAATTTTAATTAACATTGGAAGTTTTAAAATAAATGTGGAATGCATTATCTGTAAATTATACATACAAAATAAAAATATTTTCTTGCGTCATAATAAGCGTTCAGCACAAAAATTATGCAAATACTGACGCGATAAATATTGAACATGTAGCATTCGTGCGCGATCCATCAATCCATCAATATGGATCGCGATCCAAATATCGTGATAATTACTGACCGTGTGACAGAGCCCAACGACATTTTGCCTGGAAACTTGGCTGCTTAAATTCGTAATATGGCAACGTTATTTCCCAAGTTCCGTTACTGTGTCAATATAACGGAACTTGTATTAAACTGCTGTCATTTCACAATTTGCGAGATTTTCTGAATTAAATTCATATTTTTATCTATTTTATTTTGGTTTGATATCGTTTCATTTATTTTTCGTCACTCCAAATGGCGTTCCGGTCAAATATGGATCGTATGCAGACAATGCATCTCATGTGTAAACGAGAACTTGAGCAGCTTCAGGCAAATTTGTCTAGATTTTTAATCGATAGTGAAGTTGTAATGAGAAATGAAATATTTAAAAATTCTCGAAAGGAATCTGGCTTCCCATTGCATGGCAATGTGTTTGCGCTAATGGCCTACGACCGATACATGTCTCGCGTGGCTTCCGTAACAAACTTGGCGCGGAAATTTAACATCCATTTACAACTGCATAATTTGAATAAAATCTTGACTGGTGGTGATGTTGGCTCAAACAAAACAAATTTACTCGAGGAATTCGTTGAATGGCATAAGGCGTTAAGAGACAACGATGTGTGTCAAGATTATGGTGGAGGTTGGGAACATTATCGTAGTAATGAAGATGAGGGGTCGACCGCTGCATTACCGTTGGCTGATCCCATAACCACTGATAATAAAGTCAAAGTATGCGACGCAATGTTTCCGTTTGCTCGTAAAATAACTTTTGCCAGACCAGAATCACTGACGTTGGAAGCATTGCCGTCATGTGTGCAATTGCGGGATTTGTCTGGATTTGTCGCTGGATATCACTTCGCAGCTTTTATAACGTACATCGATAATATAGACACATTAACCTTTTACGCTTGCCAAATGCGTAACGATATGCTCTACGAGCTAAGTAACATGCTTAATCTGCCCAAGAGCGTTCGAATACCTCCAAGGAATTTTGTTTTCGGTATTTCTATTAATAGTAAGAGCATTTTACGAGGAGTAATACAAACTCCTGAATGTGTATCTCATGGTAGTACCGAGGATAATATACATGTGCTACTCATCGATTATGGCGAGCTTGTGCCTTTGAATAGCAATGAGGTGCAGTTTTATGATTTACCGAAAATGTATAGGGATTTGCCGGCACAGGCTATAAAATGTATACTCTTGGGAGTAAAAGATGCATTCGAAGGATGCAATCAGACAGATGCATGTTTATTGGGCAAAAAGTTGAGAAAATATGAATTTAAGGAAGTCACTTTTGAAGTGGTTCGAAAAACGGGCCGAGTTTTATACGTATACATTATTGAAAGTCGAGAGATGGAAAATTTACCAGCAGAGGTAAGTTAATCCAATTAAAAAAGTTGCAATGGTTATGTATATGTAAATAGTTATACATATTGTCTTAACGTCGTAAATTGAATGTTACAACGGTAAGAGTTTTTACACGATAACTATAAAACATTTCCACCGCTTTAAAATTTCAATAAAAACTGGTATCCTGCCAATTTTTTGCACATTCGTCCCTTCTTTTTTAATATTGTGGGTATTCTCGAAGTCTTGCACGGTGCACGGAATATACGGATTGTACGGTAAAAACCGGTTTTCCTATGTGATAGCTTTGCGAGAATACCCCTAATATTAAAAAAGGCCGTTCAAAACAGGTCAGATAAAGGTAGTATGACGAGTTCTAAGTTGTTTCAATGCAAAGCATCATCCTCCTTTATTTCTATACTATAACTAATGGAAATATACAATATGCCCAACCACATTAAAATGCCCAACCACATTAAAATGCCGAATTAGAACTTAGTTGCCCAAATTGAGCATTTCCATCTAGTGAATTGATGTACGACAGTCGCGTCTACGTAGCCAGAATGACCCAGATTTATATCTGGCCAAGGACTGTCACTCCAGCAACATTCCCCAAGAACTCTTTTGGGAATTTGTATGCTGTTACAACAACTACAACTTGGAACTCGGCCTATATAGGACTGTTATAGACACTATACTACTATAAATGTATTTTTCTTTAATTGCAGAATAAGAAAAGAACGAACGTATCAAATAACCCGTTTGTAAATTCTTTTGATGAAAATTCCAACGGTGATGATCCACCACAGAAAGCAAAATTTGGCAGCAATAACAATTTGAAATTTCTGCTAACCGCTCGCATAGATGAGATCTCCAAAGATGACATAATTCAATTGGAAGTTATGCATATTGCTCGACCTGATTGTTTCTACGGTCAAATTCTCAAAGACAAGACTGAACAATTGGAACAATTATTCTGGAATACCGACGAAATATTACTGGAGCAAAAGTTGACTGAACCACCGAAATTAGGTGATGTAATATTGGCGCAGTATGCAAAGGACGAATTTTGGTATCGTGCCAAGGTCATTGATATGATTGATGACGGTACTTTCAAGGTAAACGTGCTGTTAATATTTGAATTTTTATTTAGGGTAGTGATTTTCTTTTTCCCCAAAGGTATTTTATGTAGATTATGGCAATACAGATATGGTACCACTAAAGAGTATGGCAAGATGCAACCATGAGCAGGAAGTGGAACCGTTTCGCGCAGTTCTTTGTCGTTTAGATGGTGTAATCGATATAACTAACGGTGATAAGTCACGCTTCGAGCAAGCTGTGCAAATGTTAGTGGTTACGTTATTGAATCAACGTTTCAAGGTGCAGGTCATACAAAAAAATAACGATGAAGAATTAACTGTACGTTTATTGGATAAGGAATTTGTCGAAACAACACAAATGCTGGTCAATTTGGGATTTGCTAAGCAAATATGAAGAGCGTACATACAAACAGAATTTATGTTATCGTTCTCGCATGTAAAACTTAAGACAAAGTTATGTTTAACTTTTTATTTGTGTTACAGACGAGTGAGTAATCACAAAAAATGTATTGTTAAAAAGGAATTTCAATGAAATAGTTATTAAATCCTAATACGATAACCCTATTGTTGAACTGAAACATTTTTGAGAAAGAGGTTCTAGTTCTACATTTAACTTCCGAGTGAATTTCAACCCCATTCAATTTGAATTCAAAGTGGCTTTGGCTGAAATTCACCCGGAAGTGAATTGCAGGGCCTGTATGAAGGAATTGAAATTTATTAAAGAAATCTAATTAACTTGAATGTATGGTTAAATACTATGTGGATTGCATGTGAATTTCTAATAATTTGCAGTTGCGCTCAATTCGCTCAACAAAATTTCAATTATCTATATTTTTAGCAAAGTTAATTCTCTCGTGAGTGCTTCTACACTTCTCAGCGCGCTATATTTACAATAGATTCGTTGCGCCCAAAACTGAATGCATATCGCACATATTCTTCAAAAGTTTATTAACTCGAAACTCGCCGCTTCTCAGAAAAAGTAGCACAAACTATTTCTGGGCACACGTTAATCCTAAAAGGGCAGTTGTTGTAATAAGATACAAATTCACAAAACGGTTATAGGGACGGTTTGAACTGACATCTTAGCTAGATATAAATGTGGGTCATTCCGGTTACATATACCCGAGTCTAGTGGAACGATGAGGAAGGGCGTTTTTGCTGTGGTTTTTTGCAACAAATTACAATAAAATCGTGTCTGCTTTTGCTCTGTACATGACCAGGGAATTTAATTATAATATATCGCTACCTTAATTCACAAAGGCCCCAACCAACACTTTTTGTCACAGACTTTAGTAGGATGTATTAAAATACACCTTCAGTAAAAATTTTAAAGTGCTAGTACCAAAAACAATGGAGGTACATGCCACTTTTTAAAGAGCCCTACCTGTTTTTGATACTCTTTTTATGTTTTTTGCTTCTTTCAAATAAAAAAAAAATTGTTGGTTAGGGCCTTTGTTAATTAAAGTATCGATATGTACATTGTATGTAAATTCAGTGTTTTTATTCACTTGTTGTATATCGTGCTCAGCACTTGGCATACGGTCCAAAGTTGAAAAACTGCTACCTTAAAATTACTGGCTATTTTCCCTTTGCAGTTGGTCTCTCGTCCACTCTTGCTCTCAGTCATTTTTCCCGTCTATGGCCCACAATGTGTTTAGTACAATTTTAATTGTTGATTTGCGTGGACGTTTGATTGTCGTTGGTTGTGCTCGCTCCACCGCTTTTTAATACGAAACAATTAACTTTTCGTTGATTCACATCAAAAATCGTTTCGGTCATCGCCGTCGGCAATTTTGTACCTACCTATTATATAGTGTGATAATAAATAGCTTTCTATACTTAGTGAAACAGTAACAATAGAAAGTTTTAAGTGCTTATATAAAACTGGTTTATTTGAGAATTATTTATAAACTCGTGCTAATACGAATTGATGCTGACACATTTCAATACATTGCATAAAACTATTTAAATAAGTCAAGTACTACGACGACTAGCGTTTTGGTGTAACGAAGCGGTCGAAAAGTTCAGTGATATTGCAGTGCTTCCCATTGCATTGTGAATACACACACAGCAAAACACGAAAACGAAAAAAATAAACAAAACTGCGTGGTTCAACGTTATCATTTCGCAATGCCAGACAAGGTAAAGTACAAAAACAAAACAAAAAATACTAATACAAAATTACTAACGAAAAAAAGAAGAAAGCGAGAATATAATATAATTTATTTATTTAAAAAATTTGTTATTATTTATCTATAAAATTTACGCGCTGATAGGGTTCCTACTTTTTTATAAAAAAAAAAATTTTATACATATTTAGGGATATTTAGGGATTTTGTATTAATATTAATAACACCGTGCGACAGTCAATTTTACACACGAAAACATCAATATACATATATTGCATACAAAAATTTAATACTTTAATTGTTTTATATACAAGGGCGTAACCAGCTTTTCACCTAGGGGGCGTGAGTTTATATAGAGGGAAAATATGTTTCTAATCCAATTTTTTTTGTGTATATAAATAGAAATTTTTGGGTTTAAGAAAGTATAAGTTTTCCGGTATCCTTTCCAACGATACCAATTTTTTAAAAATCAGTTTGTAATTTTTTTTGTTTAAAATATTTTTTTTTATAAAAAGTTTTTTTTTATAAAAAGGTTTTTTTTTATAAAAAGTTTTTTTTGCTTTTAAGTGTTTTTTTCTCAATCCTTTATAAACAAAGTATACAAATGTGTATACCAGAAGAAAGCGGGTTTAATCGCCTTTACAACGATATCAAATTTTTAAAAATCGTTTGGTACTTCTTTTGTATTTTTTTTTATAAAAAATGTATTTTGTCCTTTTAAGCGTTTTTTCTCAAATTTTTATATACAAACTATACAAATACGCATATCAGAAGAAAAAAGGTTTGATTGCGTTTACAACATATTTTTTTCTATAATAAAAGAGAACTTTTTCCTTTTGAATGTTTTTTTCTCAAACTTTTACATACGAAGTATACAAATATGCATATTAGAAGAAAGATGGTTTAATCACGTTTACAACGATACTATATTTTTTTTAAATCAGTTCAAAATTGTTTGAAATATAAGGTTTTTAATTTTTCGAAGACGTCGGGTCTTGACCCCTTATAGTACCTGTAATATAAGTTTGCACAAAAAAAGTTACATACTGTTTAAATTAGATTAAAAGGCGGACTACGTCTATATTTTCAGTTATTTACATATACACTGGCAATCAAAAGCGAGTGCATGGTGTTTTTTGTGTAATATTTGCAGTGTTTTTCAAACTAAAATTTTTCCGTTATTTCTTTATAAAAATAAGGTTCATGCTTTAATCAAAACCACATAAGCCAAACTTTAAAATTTTATACAGAACCTAGAAAAATTCACCGAATTTCGTTATAATCTGAATTTTTAGAAAACTTTTCAATCAGTGCAACAAGTGCAAGTTTCAAGCGGTTAAAAAATCGTGTTGATTTTTAATGCATTTTTTTGGCGACGTATTTATGCATATAACAATCGTAGTTTATAAAATATAGCATTTTTTTCCACAAGTATGGTAAAAAGTGCAAAAAGCCGCCAGCAATAAAAAAAAATTAAACTAAACGCTTAAAACTTGCACTTGGTTTACTAGAATTAAAAAAACTTATCTATCTGCGAATTCAATTTTTTTTAAGTACAGATTAAAAGGTTCAAAATTTTTCTAAGTTCTGTGTAAAGTTTGAAAGTTTGGCTTATGTGGTTTTGATTAAAGCATGAACCATATTTTTATAAAAAAATAAGAAAAAAATGTTTTACTAGAAAAGCATTGCAATTATTATACACAATAACACCATACACTCACTTTTGATTGCCAGTGTATGTAATAATAAAAAATAATTTTTTACCAAAGGTCCTATTTTGATATTATAATATATATATTTCGATTTCGGAGACTAACTTCGAGAAAATTACTTTTTTACCTATGACTCAATCTCTAAAAAGAATTGTTTTGGTCCAATACCTAGCCGAGTGCTGTACAGTGTAAAGATTCCAGTATCTCCATTTATGTATGTATATTGTAACTATCAATATCTTATAAAGAGAAGTGTAAAATTTTTTGTATCTAAAACTAATAAAGTTAGAAGGACGAAATTCGAGGATTAGGTAGTTTACATAATAGTCCTTGACATATAATTTTTTCAAAAATAAATATTGGAAATTTCCATGGATATTAAGGATAAAGCTTTAAAAGGACTTTTTAACACTTATTCGTACTGGTGTACCAAAAACTATTTTTTTTTTTTTTTAAATTCTACAGAATTTCTCTGTTTAATTGATACCCATATTGTTACTTTACAATGCACCAAACCTTTTAATTATTATTTTTTTATTCAATCATATCCTAGAAATTTCAAAGTCCTTTAAAAAAAGTCCTGACGTCAGAGAAAAAAAATATAAACGCAGTTATACTATTATTTGGCTCCTAGTTTTGTATATATATTGATTTTTTCGTGTTTTAAAAATTTTTGGTTTTTGTCGCACGGTGTAATGATTCGACGAATATCGTTTTTACAGAGGGCACCTGTTAACTCACATTCAGATGTGAGTTAAGAAAGAAGAATTTTGAGTTGTGTCATAGTGAAATAATATAAAGTGTATCAGATAGCAATGCCATTCTATTGTGGTACTCTTATTTGACAATTTCTTATCACAAAATTTTTTGTTTGATTTGACTTTCACTTAACCCTTTTGATTGAGAACTTATGAATTATTTTGATTAAAAAAAAAATTAAGAAAAAATGCCAAGAAATTCTTGCTGTTTGTGCAAAAGTACACATAGCGTTGCAGTATGATGTTTTCAGTCTGGAACGATGAGGATCTAGTCCGAAATTGGACAGAGGCATGCAAAAAAACCAAGCGTTAATGCCAGAATCGAAAAAAGCGAATACCAGAAACCAAAGAAAAAATAACAAAATCAAATTTTTCTTTCAAATATGAAGACCTCAGTTACCTGGTACACTTTATATTATTTCACTATGAGTTGTGTCACCTTTGAAGATCGTGTGCGATATGTATGTATGTATGTAAATAGAAGTGTTTTTATACTCGAGCGCTAGAGGTNTTTTTTTTTCTTTAAATTTAAATAGTACATACGGATCTGTAGAGAATATAGAGATCCGTGTGTGTATGTATGTATATACCTCAGACTTTCTTCTGTTCGCCCATCAATCAGCGCCAGACACTCAGCATTTTAATTCAAGTAGGAAGTAACAATATTTAAATTTAAAACTAATTCAATAATGAAGTAAATAGAATTATAATAATAGAATAATTGGCATGGCGAATGCCTAACGCTGACGAGTTGAAATGATAAGATTAGTAGCCTCATGGCTCTTTGAAATCTACCTTATGAGAAGTAGCGCCGGCGTTTCCAGACGCGCCGGCGTCGCCGCCGCCGCCGAATCTTTTTGACGTTGACCACGCCGCCGCCGCAAAGCCTGTCGGCGTAAACCTCTATCGAGCGCACTTGTGGAGAAGGGTATTGTAACTTTGTTCGCATAACGGTTATTTGTAACAGTCTAAAGAAATCGAGATAGATATAGACAAATGCATACATAAATGATAAAGCTTAGTATCCAGCTCTTAAGAAAACGGTCAAGAAAAAATTGCCATTATTTCGCGTGTGTGTCCAAGGAATTTTGACATTTTTTATACCTCACAGCCTGTTGCCTCACTCTTTCCTCAAGAAATAATGGAAGGGGGATATATTTCTGTTGCAAACTTGGGTTGCCTTGTGCTCTTTTTTCACAAAAAACTTTAGAAAACCGTAGTAGAAAGCGTACTAAATTTCTGAAGAACTGCGTACTGCCTTAAGGAAATTTGACTCAAGAAAATTTCTTAGCCATTTCTTGTACGTCATTTTATATGGAGTTTTTGCTTTTCTTAAGAGCTGGATACTAAGCTTAAGAATGAAAAGAGAAGTCGATTAAGGCACTCCGCACATTACGCGCCCAATAATAGGGGAGTAATCATCTTGTCATGTCAAAACAAATGCATGACGACTCGAATTCTACACACGTGGGCCCCCTGCATAAGCCCTGCTGACGCACACATTACACATTTTCTGGCCGGTCTTTCTCACTAATAGACTTCCGCGCATTGGCACGAGGTTTAGCACAAAATCATTAATTTTCAATTATTTCCTATTGAAATAAATAATTTTTATTTCCAGCACAACAAAGTAGGTAAACAAATGCCGATTTCAAAACGATAGGCCCCTTACAATGTTGGGCGCTCCGATTCATGAAGTTTTTATGATTAGGCGAAAACATGATTATGAATCGTAATATACAGAGTTTCATTAAAATACATGTGTTCGGCATAAAAGCTTCATACTTTGGTATGCCGAAACGATTACACTACTACGATTCGGCGCTTAATGTGCGGAGTGCCTAAGCTATATCTGTCTATCCGTTCGTCCGCCTGTCCGTGTACTCGATAACTCGAGTAAAATTTGAGATATGTCAACGAAAATCGGTATGAAGGTTGTCCTTTATCCAAGGTAGCTATTGAAAATGGGTGAAATCGGACTCTAACCACGCTCCCTTCTCATATAACGGTATTTTCGAAAAATGCAAAAACTACGATATTTCAGTAAATATTAGAACAAAATTGTTGAAAATTAATATGTGAAGTAGAATTTTGGTGAAAAATAATATTATGCAATTTTTGGAAAATGGGCGTGACCCCGCCCACTAATGATGAAATACTGTATCTCAGTAGTCGCTTCACCAATCCTTGCCAAAATCGGTACGAGCCTTGCTTAGGGTTCAGTTAAGAAGTCTGTTGAAAATCTTTGAAATCTGGCAATAACCACGCCACCTCCCATATAAGGTTGCCAGATTTTTTATGCACGAAATCAGTACGTTTGACTTTTTCATGATAAAAAATCAGTACTTTTCAGTCCACTTTTTTATAAAGCAAAATTATGAATGTAAGTAACAGATATTCTTTTAGAACTCCAGAGTACTTGTTTTTAACAATATTTTGGCATAAATTAAATTTAGTTCATAAACAATAAAAGTGTTATTCATTTTAACATGAGTGAACACATCATTATACACAGAAGCCATAAATTATTATATATATATGAC